TTTTTTTTTTTTTTTTTTTCTGGACCATTCAGCTCAACATGTCTAGGCTTATGCACCTATAGTATTCGAGACGTTCCAAATTTCTATAGCACCAGATGTACTGATCAAGTATGTCATCGTCCATATCTATAATGTTGATTTGCCTGCTATACATATCCAGCAGCTGGCTATTACGTTTATGTTTTGAATCTGTGTCTGTATGTATGTCTGTGTGTATGTATGTGTATCTGAATGACTGTGTGTGAGTGCGTACGCGTTTGCGTATAGGCAATATCTGGTACACGTTTATCGGTATCTGTGGTGATTGCTTTTGCGTGAATATAAAAATGGTAAGACAAGAAGCCCCTTAAGTTAACGATCAGTAATTTTAATTTATTAAAACGGGGGAAAAAAATAAGACGAAAAAAAGGAAGATTGATTGTATACTGAAAGGAAAATCTTTATTTTTTTGATTTCTTTTTTTCCTGGTTTTGGAAATTTTTTTACAAATGTTTTTTTCTTTTCTTCTCTTTTCTCTTTTGAATTTATTTTTATACGATTAATGATGGGTTATTGGGAAGCCAAAGAGAAAAAAAAGAATTTCAACTTCTCATCGACTTTTGCACCTTCATTTTGTTTGCGAGGTTCTCTATTATCATTTTTTTTTCTTCCGGAGCGGATAGAGGAGATCTCTTTTGCGGCTGTTATTATTATTGCTGTTACTATTACTACTACTATTACTATTACTATTATCACATTACTGTTACATTATTACTACCCAATATCGAGGTTTATACCTAATATATACCTTATTGTAATAGGTGTGTACTAATTTAGATTAGAGACCGTGGAAGTCTCCATTTTTGGCAGGAAAAAGCTGTTTGTTTGTGTTTCTTTGTCTCTTCTTGATTTTATTTCTAAGTGGCACCAGTTCCATGACGTTTAATGTTTGACGTGGTTTTTCTTGTTGTCGTATGCTTTTGTGGTGTAAAATGGATGAAAGGATTGGTTGTTGCGTGATTCACATGCTGATCATCAAATTGTTGTCATGCGTAACAACCATGGATATATAGCATTGCCTATAAGTGTGCCTCTCTTAGATGCATTTTTTGCTTCAACAAACCTGAGCAATATTTTAAGGGATACTGTTAGTAGAGGTAGCGGTAATTGGAATCCGTTCGGTTATTAGGTACCGTTAACGAATGAGGATTTTTTATTATAACCTACCTATTTGGAAGGGTACGAATGAACAGCTGACAGTAATGCTTTTTATCCAGCA